TTTAACAACTAGTTCTGTGCACTAATGATTTCTTCCAACAACCAGTTCACCAAACTGCTCAGAAAGTTAACAACCGGTTTTCCCAAAGTGGTGCGAACTGGCTGAATCCCACCACTGATGAAACTCAAATACTTTGCCCACCTAATGAGAAGGAAGGACTCACTGGAGAAGAACCTAATACTGGGAAAGATTGAGGGCAAAAAAAGAAAGGGATGACAGAAAATCAGGTTGTTGGATGGAGTCACTGAAGCAGTAGGCATGAGCTTAAATGGACTCCAGAGGATGGTAGAGGACAGGAAGGCCTGGAGGAACATTGTCCGTGGGGTCACAATGGATCGGACACAACTTCACAACTAACAACAACAACAAGCTCTTTCTAGTTAAATGTATCACTACAGTTGTTAAATTAGTGCAGTGGCACAATAGAATATCCTGTATTTCTCCAGCATCCTTAGGATAATGTCACTATCAACATATTGTGCAGTACAGATAGCTTTTGGTTTATAACAGTTGTTTGTAATTACAATGGCACTGAAAAATTGACTTATGACCATTTTTCACACTTACAACCATTGCAGCATCCCCATGGTGATGTGATCAAACTTCAGACAATTGGCGACTGACTCATACTTATGACAGTTGCAGTATCCCGGGGTCATGTGATCACCTTTTATAACCTTGAGACAAGCAAAGTCAATGGGGAAACTATATTCACTTAACATCCATATTACTAACTTAACAACTGCAGTGATTAACAGCTATGGCAAGTAAGGTCGTAAAATGGGGCAAAACCCATTTAATAAATGTCTCACTTAGCAGCATGAATTCTGGACTCTGTTGTGCTCGTAAGTCAAGGACTACCTGTATTGACAGAGAAGGGAACTGAATGTTGCATGGAGTGAGAGATGTTCCCAACAAGTCAGCTTTGTTTCTGACGATGGGGAAGCAAGAAAAAGAGTGTTTAAAATTGTTCTCTGGCTAGCTAGGATTACATGTGGTTTGGGATCATTCGCAGTGATTTATAAATAATGATTTACTGCTTTTGGCAATAAACATTGTAATCAACTGGTTAAAGAAATCATGAATTAGAATAATGTAAGTATCTAGTCATGCAGGTCATCATAGACTTGTTCTTTACTGAAACCTAAGCATATGGTCCAAAAATGATCTGATATTATTTTAGAGTTCATTGAACTGCAATAAATTGGGAGCCATCATGTGCCAAATCAATGGCTGTTTATTTGGTTACATTCAGTCAGATTTCTCAAGAAATTCATCTGTTCCCTTGGCTTCCTCCACGTGTTAATTTTGGCACATCTTGCTTCTTCTCTCCACCTTTCCCCCCTCCCATTTTCCTGCCATCACATCATCAACTCAGCTGACACTGAGTGAGAGGGATGTTGGTAGCAACAGACATCTTTATCTTTCTTAGTAACGATGTCAAGAACAAGGTTTCTGTCACCAAATACCCTATTTAAAAGTCATAGCAGGAGGGTCCCCACCCGAAGATCATATTTAGTGTAAAGAAAAATAACAGGCCTATTCCTGGGGAAAAAGCACTTGAAGTAATGTCTGCAAAGCAATTGCTTTAGGAAGCAGAAATTACATGAATATCTTTACAAGGAGGAGTTTTTTATACAAAATAACTCAGTGCATAATTCTTTCAAGATTAATTTAGGGCAAAATATATCTGTCTTCAGGTTTCCCCTGTTCACATTATGCGCAAGACTTTCCATTAGTAATAAAATGAGATGTAGTAGAATTTTCTGAATACAGGCAGTCTTTGACTTATGACCACAACTTCTGTTGCTAAGCGATGTGGTTGTTAAGCAACTTACGTCTACTTTTATGACCTTGTTGTCACAGTTGTTTAAGTGAATCACATGAGCATTAAAGAAATTCGGTATTTGTTAAGCAAATCCCGATTCCCCAATTGACTTTGGTTATCTGAATTCAGTTGAGAAGGTCACAAACGGCACTCATATGACCCTGGGATGTTGCAAGTGCTCACATTTTGATCACGTGACTGGTCATAAATGCAAGGACCAGTCATAAGTCATTTTTTTCAGCACCATTGTAACTTCAGAATAGTCACTAAAAATGGTGGCCAGTCAAGAAATATCTGTATGTTCAATAAGAGATGTTATTTTATTTTCCACAAATGGAAATATAGTAATTTATTTTGTAATCAAGCATTAAACCTAGGAGGTAAGCAGCTAGCTTCAACAGCAATGTTTCCATCCCACTCTTCCAGATTCAGTATTTGATTGCAAGAATAACAAATTCAAATCATTTTATAGTTCTTTCAGAACTGACAGTCTTTTAAAACTTCATTCTGATATACCAAATAAATATATAAAATATATATTTTAAAGAAAATATACTTTGAATAGATCTTATCAAACTACCGAACCATTATTCTACTAGTTTTATATTTCCCCTTTCCAGCAAGTACTGAATGTACCCTCAGAATGTGTCTTCAGTTCACTTCATAACTCTATGAATTAGGGTGGGCTGAGAAACTGACCAGCCTATAATCAGTCAGTGGCTGAAGATGAATTTGAATCAGACTTTAAATTCATACAAAAGCAAAGAGAAGCTGAAGTTTTTTGTATTATGAGTATGTATAAATTCAGGAGCCTTCTTGGTAGATATATACAACATAGGACTAAAGCAATTGCACAAAACTGAACAACAAAATAGTCAATCACATTTTAAACTAGAATGTTGAAAGATTCAGTTTTTGACTGGTTTGTAAATATATGAGTTAGATGAATCTAGAAAATAGAATTAATTAAACTAAAGTAATATTAAAGTAATGTTGGAAGGCCAGCAACTACATTATATGTGACTTGGCCATAAAATCCCATAGGCTATATTATATACATATTTTAAAATAAATGTTATTTTCCTTAAAATACCAAAATTTAATAAAGTTTGGTAAAAAAATCACCCATAGAAATAAAACAAATAGAAAATAGAAATTTTAAATAACAAACAAACAATTCAATCCAACTACCTGTATTACTCCCCCTAAAAAATCCTTACATGGAAACTTATACTTGTGAAAGGAAAATAGAAAAAATAAACAACTAAAACAAAGGAAAAACTGATGTAACATTTCTTTTTTTAAAAGCTAGTTTGGAATTGCTTGTTGGATGGAGTGACAACATGCAGTACTCACAGGCTATATTACTGTGTATTATATTAATCTACAATGTTAATCTAACTTATTTTAAATCTTTTTTTCTTAAATAAAAACATCTTTACAACAAAGCATTTTGAAGGTTAAACTTAAGGCAAATTTAAATTTTAGAAAGTAGTTTAGATTAGTTTTTCAGAATTGAGAAGCCCTATTAATTAAGTAGATTCACTCAATCAAATTATTCAGCTGTCTACAAATTAATCACCTTCGCTTTCTTAAAGTGCCAGCACTGCTATATCCAGTTAAACGTATGGGATTTGTTTGCTTTTGGTTTAGTTTGTTGTATGAATTCAGCTATTCTGATATGAAACCATGGCTTAAAGTGTTGTATGATCCGACCACTGTGGTGTATTCAACAAAACACGGATTAAATATGCCATAGTTTAATACAATGTGTAAATTTAATCAGCAATGTTTTGCAAAAGTGCGAACTGATGCTGTTCCTGATTAAGCTCTCCATCACCATCATCATCATCAATTATTATCAATCATCATCATCAACAACAACAAGAAGAGGTTTCAGAGCCTTTTGCTCCCTTCCTGGCTCCCAATACTAAGAATACAGTGTTTGAGGCTGGAGGAGGAATAGGACCTGCTATAAGAGAGCAAAACAAGCTCTCAGCTGGGACATCCACAGGAGATGGGAGATCAAAAAAGTAAAAATTATAATTATGACCATGCAATCAAAATTCTGCCCCTTTTATGTCCATTGTAGATGTTCCTGCTCTCAGCTCTCCATTGATTATGCACTATCGTTGATGTTGATCCGTAGGGACCATATTGATCAATTTTCCAGCTCCCCATGGTCAACTAGCTTTTACCTCATTAGGTAACAAAATGTCTTCAAGCAAACAACCAAGCTCAGAGAGCACCCAGGTCTCTATACGTAGCTAAGTTTCTCCCATGTTTCTGTGAGTCCTTCAGGTTGCTCTTTTAAATCTCCCTTGTCCATGTTTTATGTTGTCTCTTCTATAGCAAGACCAAGCGGCCACCCAGAGCAAAGAATATTGCCTCTTCTCTACATAAAGTGTTGAGTGCCTTGTTATAATATCAACAAGTACATCTGTAGTATACACAGAATGCCTGGCTGAAATGTGAATGATGGCTACTTTGTGGTTCAGTATATTGTGCAAACCTTATATACATAGTTAGTATCTGATTTTTTGTGTCATGTGAATGCCATTGATATAGTGTAGTGGGTGAATCAAGTCCTTAAATGTCCGTGCAGACATATTGGAAGCTCCAGTATTAATAAATATAATCCTGGGGTGTGAAGCATTATTATATAAATGCATAATTGACCACACAGTACTATGCATATTTGTTCTAAAGTAAAACTTCAGAATAACTATTTTAGAGTAGGTGATTTACTTTGACACAGATGTAAGATGACTGTGCTAAACCCAAACAAATCAATGTACATTACTGTAGCTCCTTATATTGTGTGAATCCAGCTATGGTGGTTGATGGCCATTGTTTTGATGGTTAGCATATCTTGTGAAGGCAGCCACCCATGACTTAATCAAACGAGGATGGCTTAGGTTAAGGTTTTCTGAATTCAGCCACTCGATCACGCTGACAGACCCAGAGTCCAGCAATGAAGTCCAACGGCTCATCCTTGGGAGGGATTTTTCTCAATGACTGCAATAAACGCGGTTATTTGACACCTGTCCCCGAGGGGGACGGGCTGCCAAAGGGACGGGAGCAAAGGCGTTGTCAGGTGTACCGACACGCAAGAGCAAGAGGTGAGTGGCGCAAAGATCGACCACAGCTGCCCCCGAGAGTCGCCCACTTTTGACAGCCCAGTCTCGGAAAAGCAGAGTGGCAAGCAATCCACAGAGGGGGGAAAAGGTGGGGCGAAACCGGCAGAAAGGAACGAGCGCTAAACCTGGCGCCGATCCAAGGTGCTTTCCCATAAACCACATGCTTCGGCGCAGCTCTTTATAAAGCGCGACCTCCAAGCAGCCAGCAGTCGGGAGGCAGGCTTTCCTGGGGATTGTTGTTACGAAGTGGAAGTTCCAGCCCCCTCTTGCCGGCCGCCTACCAAGGGGAGCGGGACTAATTGCAAGAAAAAGGCGCGCCCTCTTGGCTCTCGCGAAGCAGGACTTGAAGCCCCACGGAGCCCTTGCAGTGCAGTCCCCGGAATAGTAAGCGCGCGCGCACGGCGAAGGTAGGAACCCTTCTGGTGGTGGCGGCGTTGGTTGTAAAGGGTAACGAAGCTTTGGCGGCCAAGTGCTTGTCTTCTCCTCCGGGCCGGCAGAGTGTCGGCATAGTTCGTTGCTTTTCAAGCAATTGCGCAAAGCACCCAGTTCCTTTGCAGCCGTCCCAGGCGCTCAAGCTACGGCCCAGTTGCTCTGACAGTTGGCTCGTTTGCTCTTGAGCGGCTGCGGGGAACTTTCCCAACCTCTGCGGAGCATTCCACTTAGGAGTTATTGCCGAGTAAGAATGAAAAGTGGAACCGCCGTTGCAAACGTTCGGCTTTCTACGGCGAAGAATGAAACGGGCTTTGATCCCCTCAGTGTTGAGGCGGCAGTGCAGGATGGTCTTGTTGCCCTTTGGCTTCCTCCTCCTCTGGGGCATTTACTGACCTTTACTTGTAGCTGGTTCCAGGTTTCTCTCCCACCACCACCACCTTTTTTTTTCTTCCTCCCGTTCATCCTCATCTTTCACGCCCCCTCCTGTCAAGTTGCACAAAGCTGGTCAGAAAAATCTAAAGAAAAATTGAAGTCCCCCTTGAGGAACCGCTCCTCTGGCTCCAGCTGGCCAATGTTTGCTTGAAAGGAAGGCCCAAAGGGCATTTTTCAAATAAACATGCATTGTGGTCCTGAATAAGTTGCTGTTTCCTTTTGAAATCAGTTGCACTGTAATGCACTCACATTCCCTTATTAGTGTTACCAGCATGTAGCCAGCTAGAGCTTAAATATTGGTTGCAGAGTGGAGCTGCCACAGCCACAGATAAGGGGACCTGTCAAATGTTGGGGTGAAGTTTTCTCCTGGTATGGAAGTTTTAGAGGACCATAGGACTTCTCCGTTGTACAGTACTCAAGTAGATAAACCATCTAGTGTTTAAAGCCTTGAAACTTTTCTTCCTGCATAGACCTTCTGATTTCTCAGAGCTTAATTTGAACCTGTTTTTGACTCAGTTTTTGCTCTGAGTCACAAAATAAAGGGGAGCATGTAGAAAAAGAAACCATGGTTAACAATGCACAGTGGAAGCCTCTATAAAGCAGCCATTCAGAATGGGTACCATCAAAGTAAGTCAAAAGTAGTATATGACAGGTTGGAAGTTGATAAGTTCAACAACACATGGCTAATAGTTTTCTACATCCTTAGGTGTATGGAATAGGAGTACTATCCCTCTAGTATGGAAAGTGAAATTCATAGGCCAGACTTGAAGAGTATACTAAATACTTCAGATGTGTAAATGTAACTGTTCTGGTTTATGACTTAACCAGAATTGGCTACACCCCCATGTTCTGCCACAATTAAGCAAAGTATGATTTAATAATGTACTTTTAATGTCTCCTGGTTAAACGGTGCTCCTAGGCCTTTGTTCCCAATTCGAAAGTGATTTGCCATTGCCTTCTCTCTTAGGCTGAAAGAGAGTGACTGGCCCAAAGTCATCCCAGAACTTATGTCTCAATGCAGAATTAGAATTCACACTGGTTCCAAGCTTGGTACCATTAACCACTATACTCAGCCAGCTCTTGTTTGCAGGCAATTTAGCTAAAAAATCTTGAAAGAATTCTGTTAATATTAAGAACCTATCAATCTATTTCACCTTCTAGCTGAACATACAGTAATAAAGGCCTCCCAGGGCTTTCTAAGTGGGCATATTAATCACAAAGCATGATATGAAATCTTTTCCAAATCTTTCCTATTGTTTTTCTCTCTCTTATCCTCCTTCCCTTTGGATTCTTTTGCTAATCTCAGTGAAGATCCCCCAAGGTTGTAGGACAATAACTTTGGAATGCTATGGCATAAAATAACCCTTATATTGTTCTGGAAAGCTTTTCTTGTGGACAGCAAGGTGCCAAGGATAAGGGGAAGAAGCAGAGGTGGGTTGCTATCGGTTCAGGCAAACCGGTAGTGCAAATTGCGACTGGGTCACCGAACCGGTAGGGACGGCAGGCTCGCCATGCCCACAAACCGGTTCATCTGTCACCGTGGCATGTTTTTTGGGCATTTTTTAATGTTCTGTGCATGCATAGACTTATTTATAGACAACTGTGCATGCACAAAGTGCGCGTGCACCGAACTGGCAGTAACACCGGCAGCAACCCACCCCTGAGAAGGAGCATGCAGTGGCAGCAGTTCGGTGGAGAAGAGAGCTGTGCAGAGGATCCAAAAGTGAAGTTATGAAAACCAACAAGAGTGAACAGCTGGAAGGTGTAATTGAGCCTTCTTAATCTTGTCTAACATTGGGATGACAGGAATTGTCCTCGAGTATATTAGGAAGAACCAAACTAAATAAGTGGCTGAAGTTGCAGGAAAGCCTGATATTCCTTTTCATAGTTATTACCCAAACTTGAAAGTTGATATGAAGCCTGATAGAGAGGTGCTGCCAGGTTTATTGGTAGGCAATTAAATACTTTTAGTGACCTAAGAATAGGATTACCACAGGACTCTAAAAATGACCATTAATGCACTAATGAAAAAAGCATGTGAAACCTCTCCAAATCTTTGCCACCCTCTAGTAGCTGCCCATATTTTTTTCAGTCTGGATATAGAAGCCCAAATAACTGGTTTTGATCTGTGAAGAATAGAGTAACTTTTGTACTAGAGCATTTTCCTCTGTTATTCCTAATATTTATAGATGGATGATAGATTTATAGATTGAAAATCCTCTGCAGAGTAGTCAAACAATTTTTATATCCTCAGTTGCAAATATATATTAAAGTATTTGAGAACATTAAAAAAGGCTCAAATGTCCTGTAGAGGATTCCCAATCATTTAGTGCAAGTGAACTTTCTAGAGACGATGGTGGCTATCTTGGATCATTGCTTCCATTGCCTTAAATCGCAGGGAGACTTAAGTGGGGGCTCAGAGGTTAGTCTCAACATCTCTAGACTGACTCCTGTGGGAAAAGCTGTGGTTGGTCGATCCAGCTTTTTCAAGTAAGTTCCTGGAGCTGCCTTGTCTGTTGGTGGTTGCTGCAACTTGGTGGTCTTCTAACTTTTAATTCTTAGCCTTCTTTTTTCCACGCTGCTGTTCTGTAGATTTGCCATCTATCTGGAACCACTTCATGTCCTGAACTTCTGGGGCTTTTCATAGCAAGGAATTTTGGAACACAATGCTTTGGGAAGCAAGAAAAGATAAATAGCCATTTTTAGCATCTGCAGTCTGTTTTGAAACAACAGCAGTTTCAGAAGATACTGAAGGGGAAATTCCAAATTGATCTGTGGGACTTGAGCAATTTCCTTGGATAATAAAAATTAGGGGGATGAAAAGAAACTGAGAAGGAGGAGGAACTGGCTGACTTTGTGCCAGTCATATACTCTCAGCCCATCCCACCTCACAGGGTTGTTTTTTTGGGGGGGGGATAGGAGGAAGTAGGTGTGTTGGATATGTTTGAGTTATATGTAAAAAGAATAAAGGCAGAATACACACAAATAAATACCTTGAATATTCTTTTCTATGGCTGGGCTAAAACATGCTATTGTTAAGGATTTGCTCAGTTCTTAGTGTTTTACATATTGATTGTATATAATTTTTTAATGATTTGATAGTACTTTTGTTTGTTGCTTGCAGCCATTATTCATTATATATTTAATCCCACTTTTAATATGTAACTCAAGGCAACAAAGATACATAATATTCCTGTCTCTTAATTTCCCCACAACAACCTTTGAGGTGGGTTGAGCTGCGTAGAGAGAATAACTAGCTGAAAGCTGCCCATCCAGCTTTCATGCCTAAAGCAGGCCTAGAACTGGCAATCTCCTGGTTTATGTATATATGCTTTCAGCACTGCCTACATACAGTATATTTTCTAAATAAATAAATGTGGCATGGAAGCTGCAATAGGCATCTAAAAACTGAACTTGGGGAATTTGAGCTGAGAGCTGCAATACTTCATTATGTTGGAGCAAGTATTTTCATCTGCACAAGGAAGGGAAAAACCAGCTTTGTCACAGAACAGCAGGGAATGTGCAATCCATCTGAGCTGTAACAATGGGGGAAATTCCCAGCTTGGCTACTTGTCTGACCTCTTCTTTTCCTAATAAGAACATAAGAATGGAGGTGGAGGGAGAAAAGAATGCTTGTAAACCAGAGTTAAGGCTTCAAAACTTCCTGAAAAAGTTCGTGGATTGTTCTATCAAGTGCACTTTAAAGCACTCTTGGGAAATTCGGGCCTTAGCAGCAGTGCTGCTATGCTTTGCTAAATAAATGTGGCAAGCTTCAGAAATATATATAGTCCAGAGATTTCTGCAGTCATGGATGCCAGCAGGATGGAAAAGAGTTATTGTTGGAGCCATGCCCAATATGTGGTAATTTGATATGGTCCGTTCCAAGCACAAATTGGTCTGAAGCAAAGGCCCGGTGGGAAAGTACAAATAGTAGAAGGAAATATTACTGCAATATTTTAGCACTGACTTTAAAAAAAAACTACGCATTTTTTTAAAACCAAACTTCTATGCAATAATGGATGGTAATTCTGAGACAGTATCACAGTCTTTGCTAGTAAGATGTTGTAGCAAAGGGCAGTGGGAGAAGAGAGAATGATTTCCCAGCATGTGTGGTTTGGAAGAAAGATGTGTGGCAGACCATGGGAGGAGAGAAACAAGTGAGGAATCCTCTAGATAAGCTGACGAAATTTTATGGCTACTTTTTAAAAAAAGAGGCTGAGGGAAGACATAGCACCACATTAGCCAGACATCGATGAGTTTAGGACATACGTTTGACATATAATGTTGATTTACATTAGAAAGGAAAAACAATGAAATGTAAAGGCTTGTTAAGGACAGTCCTATTTATTATTGTTTTTAGTTGCGAAGTCGTGTCCGACCCATCGCAACCCCATGGACAACTGTTCCTCCAGGCCTTCCTGTCCTCTACCATCCTCTGGAGTCCATTTAAGCTCACGCCAACTGCTTCAGTGACTCCATCCAGCCACCTCATTCTCTGTCATCCCGTTCTTCTTTTGCCCTCAATCTTTCCCAGCATTAGACTCTTCTCCAGTGATTCTTTCCTTCTCATTTAGTGACCAAAGTATTTTGAGTTTTATCTTCAGGATCTGGCTTTCTAAAGAGCAGTCAGGGTTGATCTCTAGGACTGACCAGTTTGATCCTATCTATAGGAGCAGAAAAGGCAATATGAGACTTCTATTATGAGACTTCTAATATGAGACTTCTTCTTCATCCACAGCCCAGGAAAACATGTTTGCCTCTATGCAACTAGCCTTGTTTCTTCTCGCAACCTGCGGTATCCATGTAACTGAACAGAATAATTCTGGTTGCCACCGGCTCATCATGGCATCCCACCTTAAGAACTTGACTGATCTGGTGAGTTTATAAATTATATCATAAGAACACAGTATTAAAAGAATAATGATGTTAAGAAGTAACATTATATGGACTGGGTATCTGTGCTGATGGTATCTTGGTAGTAGATTACCAGCTTAACAGTCAGGCTGGGTCTGTATTAAATAAAGTTATAGTAGTATCTAATTTCCAATGTTTTATGTTGTTTCCAGTCCCTCTAGTATTCGATTCAGGAAAAAAGTTATTCTTTTTTACAGTAAGTGGTACCGGGCAACAAGAGAGCAGTGTTGACGCTGAAATTATCTTGGCATCTTTCTCATGTTTACAAATGCTTGGCCATTCTCAACACAACAAACCTGTAAAATAGTTTTGCATTATTTCCCTAGTGCCAGTGTAGATTCTGACTAAGAGCAGCTTACTAGAGATTCCTACAGTGTGTGGCTTGAGTGTTCCTAATTGGTAGTGTAATTTCTTTGATTTCTGCACCAAAAGTACTGGAAGAATGAATATGCAAACCAGGAGGGGGAAAAAAAGTTGTGTATAAATAAAAGTTACTTAGAATTCTGCCCAAAGAATTGGTTATATTATATGCATAACCTTTGATTTGTTTAAGATATCGGTTGGCAAAATTTAGAAGGGGTGAAAAACTATGAAAAAGAAAGGTAAAGTTTCCAAGATGTGCATGGCCCCCAGTATTTTGGTGATCACTCATCCTAATAACCAACCCAAGATCAGCTGGGCACTGGTGCCTACATGGGACACTAAAGTCAAGTTATTGGGAAGCTTATTTTACTTTCATTTAGGTTTTTTTGGGGGGTGTTGTTATGTCATTTTAGCAATATTACCGATTACCTCTTCTATGCTGCAAGAAAATGAAATTGCCAAATATTTACTGTTGTAATAAGAGCTGTATGAAGTTCCTACATCCCTGAGACCAAACATCCTCCTGTCTAAAGCCATTTTGGAATGGTCTGATCAATTGGCTGTGTACTGAAGTTTAATCCAACTTGCCATATTTTCATTTTCATGCCATAGTCATTTATTTTATGAAACAAATGTATATGGCTTCCCAAGCCACATATGATGACTTCAGGTGGCTTACAGCATTAAAAATCCAGGACATATACAATGCAACCACTAGACAAGTTGAGCATTGGAATGCCCTGAGATTAGGGCAAAACCTCCTTGAATATTTTGCTGCTATTTCTTCACCTGATCGTTACTCTGGGTTTTTCCCCCATCTAAATATTTTATTTATTTATTTTAGTTGGAGGAATAGCCCAGAGATTATATGATTAATTGATGCAGGCTGGATTTTCCAAAGCTAACATAACTGACAAGTTAATTGTCAGGGAAATCTAGAGCTGCAAAATGTTAAAAGCAAAGTCTCCTGGAATCTTGATTTTTGCCTAAACCATTAATAAACTATTAGGAAATCTCTGCTGCAAGAATTGTTTTCATAACTAACGTTTTAGAAATCTCGATACTTTTCTTGCCTACAAAATTCCCAGGAGCTTTACAGAATTCTGATTCAGATAGGAAATATTCACAAGAATTATTATTTAGCTAACAAAAATATGAAGACAAAACTGTCTACAGCCAGGAGATGAGGCTTTAAATAGCATTGTTCTAGGGACACTTTCTCTTGTAATTTTTTCTATTGTGCCCATTTTTTATGCATTTCTGGGGTGAACATCCTCTGAGGATGACAAATGTTTGAGTTGGTCAGGTGACTTTATTAAAGTCTTTTTGCCATCCTGAATCCTCTCTATTCTCCACCATTACTTGACCAATACTGAAAATCTAACTGACTTTCCTAGTCACCTCACAAATCCAGGCACTTATGGCCATGTTAGTTGGATAATTGTGGGAGTTTTGTTACTACATTTGAACCATGCAAGTTATGGAAGATAGTACTTTCCTAAAGCAAGCTAGTTTTTCATCCAGTCTGCTCTCTGTAACGTTAATGGCTCTATTGTCTTAATATCTTTGTGCCGTATACTACTAGATTCTGCAAAAACTAACAAGAAAGCACCAACATAAGATAAATAATACTTCAATGTTTTGATTATCCATATTTATTATAAACAGTCCCTATTAACAACATTTTCTAAGGATAAATTGTTTTATTGTTTTGACTTTGGGATAAACCTCCCTAAAAAAGGAATGTTGAGTTGCTAGTGTTCCTGTTCCAGAGTTCAGTTCTCTCCTTAGGGAAGCAAATTCCTGCCTGTCTGAAAACAACTTGGTTGTAATATTTATATTAAACAGTGCTGAAACACCTGCTATCTCTTACATGTATTGGTTGCCAAAGAATATTCAAGGAGAATGGTGTATTTGTGATTCATTATTTGGCTCCTTTGAGGATTTTAAAGACATTGGGGTCTGATAATATCATATCTAATCTTTTAATAATGCATAGGTCCAATGTATAGGTTCATTGGGCAAGCCTAGTGAAGATGAAAGAGGTTCCACATTGCAATACTATTTGAGATAATTGTGTTTCTGTCATTCCTGAGGAAATAGAGTCTTTTGCTTGTAGTCTGGATCCCTGCCCCTCCTTGTTGTGAAAGTTTTCAGGGAGCTGACAGAAAACTGGTGGTGGGAAATGCATCCTTCAGAAAGAAAGTGTTACCATATGCTTGAAGGGGCAGTGGCGTGCCCCTTTCTCAAGAAACTTTTCTCAACTCATACATTCTGAGCAATTGTCAGCCTATGTCAAAATTTCCCTTTTGGGGCAAGATTATGGTTGGGCTGGAATTGCATTGAGCCCTGGAAAAAATAGAGGATCTGGCCAGTCTGGTTTCAGGCCTAAATTCAGCCCGGCACAGCATTGATTGTGTCCATGATATCTCATAGGACTGAGATAGGGATAATGTAATCCTTGTCCTGCTTGATTTCTCAATAGCTTTGGATATCATTGAACAGCCTTCTGATCCATTTCCAGTAGTTAAGAGTAAAGGGCACAGCTGTTCATCTTTCCAAATAGATGGATTCAGTCAATAATATGCTTGTGAGAAATTAAATCATATATCTCTTAAGTGGGGAAATTCCCCAGAGCTTGCTACACTCCCAGTCCTCTTCAAGATCTTCCTGAATCTGCTAGATGATGTCATCTGGCTGCCTGGAGTCAGGTTTCACCAGTATGCTAACAATGCCCAATTCTATAGCTTGGCTACTGGAAAATAACTCATGTCAGTGAAGTTTGTCCACTAATCTAGAGTTTATCCAGGTATGAATGGGAGTAGAACTGATTGAGATTAATCCCAATAAGAGGGAGTAGCTGTGGGATCAAAGAGAGGCCGCTTCCAGTATGACTCCATGATTAACTTCAAGCAGGGTTACACTTCTCTGTGCAAATTTAGTTTGGGGGCCCTCTTAGATTCATAGTTTCTGCTTGAAGAGCAGGTGGCTAAAAGCCTTTTGCTGAGCTATATCTAGAGTGTCAATTGTAACTCTTCCTGGAACCGCAGACATTACTGGCTGCCATTTATGCCTCAGTCACCTTTCCTTTGGAATATTGTAATATGTAGCACTGCCCTTGAGGTGCTTTCGGAAATTGCATCTGTGAAGAGTGAGGTGGTTTGGGTAGTGGTGGATTCTTTTGAAGGAGCTCATTGTGACACTTTTATTCCAAGAAGTCAGTTCCATTTGGCTTCTGAGTGTAGTTCAAGGCATTACCCTAATTATGCTTCCTGGCCTGGGGATATCTTTGGATGCACTTTTTTCCCATAATAAGGTTTCTCAAACTGTGAAGTATACCTCCTTTGGGGGAGGTAGAAGCAAGAGTCCAAGAGAAGTGTGAAGAACCTTTTAGTTTCATCATTAAAATAAATCTACCTTTAATTGTATTGTTTTCATTGTTCATATGTGTTCATTTTGGTGTTTGGATTTTTAGAGAATGTGTGTACACTAAAGGGAGGTGTGATGGCAACAGATTTAAGAAACCCTGCCTTGTAATATCTCCCTATTTCAAGAAGACCCAGCAGGGTAGAATTCTGATGTGCCTCTTCAACTAGACTAGAGACTCTCATCTTTTGGGATCAACAGAAGTACTTTTTCAGTTGCTGCCCTTCTCCTCTAGAATAATATATTGTCTGAGATGTGATTGGCCTCTTCCAGAGGTGGGTTCCTACCAGGTCAGACCGCTTCAGCCGAGTAGGTAATAACTTGGCCTGTCACGCCCCCGAACCCATTCTCTCGATGGCACCATAGGCACCACCATCTTGTTTTTTGCTTATGTGCATGCACAGAAGCTTTTTTTAGTACTGTGCATATGCGGGTAGTACTCATTGAGCATGCGCAGCGCATCCATGAGCGAACTGGCAGTAGCAGCAGCTGGAACCCACCCCTGGCTTATTCCCTTCTCAATGTTAGAAATCTGATGAAAGCAAGGTTTTTCTATCAAGCAAGGAAGACTGGGTTGCTGTAACGCCCTCTTGGTTGGGAAAGTAAGTCTCCCTTGCTGTTAATATTTTCAGTCTCGGCTTCAGGTTCCATAGGAACATCTCTAGTCACTGATTTACTTTACTGTATTTTTTAAAATTACATTTATATATTGGAACCTGTCTATCACTCATTATCAGGAGTTGGAGCAGCCTGTAAATCCTACAAATAAACCAATAAATAAATAATAGGCATTGGAATTGACTGTAAGTCTTAATATAATAACAGGTAACAGATAATATAATCTGAATTGGTAGAAATAATTTATAGTTTTAACTTTATTTTTTTTTATTTTAAATCTCCCTTTGAAAGGAATAATACATGGTTCACTTTGTTTATTAAAAGTGCCCTTATTTTTCAGTATCTTTTCTAAGCCAAGGAGAATGAGTCATTTGTAACTCATACTATTTCTCAAATATTACGCTGCCACACCTTAATGGAGCTTATTGTTCAAATAAAAAATACTGCTGATTAATTTTGCAGTCATGGCTAAAGTTTAGGATTAGTTGGTATATATTTACTTGGAGCCAAAACTTTAATGATTCCAATTTCAAATATTATTAAAGTAACTCTGTACCCATTTGGCACTATTTATATCCAGTATATGGCATATTACTATCATAAAAATCTCCCTTCCCTACTCCTAAAGAGAATACAGATTTTGGAACAAAGAGTGGGATTTTCAAGCCACTTAGATCCAGGAAAAGGGTTGGATTAACAGAATGTATATTTAAAACTCTGTGAATTCCGTAGTTGAATGCCTTTAAATCAAATGGGAATTTGCAAGTTTGACTGAACAAGCGATTTTAATGATGTGTGTCGTGTTTTAACAATGTTCATTCAGAAACCCCATTGCGTCATCTATTTCAGTAGCTGTTTCAAAAACTGAATTATACTTGCAGAGACACCTGATTTTGTAAAGCTGTTTTTTCATTCTAGTGTGATTTTTCTTGTTATACTTAACAATAGCCCTTATGATGGAGTTAAATCAAAGTAAAAAAAGACAATTGGTTTTTTAATGATCATTTGGAGTTACCAAGACCACAGAAAAGATGGTTTACAGCCCATAAAGCACTTATGGCAGTCATAAGATGTTGCACGCGCATATACACACACACTTCCATGACTACATTTGAGCACTTGGAAACTGGCTCACATTTACAACTGGTTGCAGTATCCTGTAGTCACATGTCTGTAATCTGTGATTTGTTTATTTTTTTGGCTGGTTTCTGGCAAAAAAAATATTGCCCATCTGAGAGAATGAATTCAGACTTACGACCATGTGATAAGCTTAATATCCACTGTAAAAATAGTCATAAAATTGGATCCAGTCATGTGGGTCAGTGGTCTCCAACCTTGGCAACTTTAAGACTTGTGAACTTCAACTCCCAGAGTTCCTCAGCCAGCAAAGCTGGGAGTTGAAGTCCACAGGTCTTAAAGTTGCCAAGGTTGGAGACCACTGATGTGGGTGTCTTAACTTGCAACTGTCATGACTTGCAACCAAAATGTTGGTCCCAGTTGCCGTCATAAATCAAGGACTACTACTGCAAATTGTAAATTCACAGTCAACTATGCTCATGGAAAAGAACGGCTGTGAAATGGATAATGTGATTCCCAGAAAAGTGGAAATTGTATGATTTCTTTCCTGGTGATGTTGTTGAAGAGTCTTTCAGCAGAGTAGCCAGAAAGCAAAAAGTGTGGTTCCAATTGCCAGAGTTTTGTTTGGTTAACTGGTTGGTGCCTAGTTGTTGCTGTGCTGGCTTAGAAGCCATTTTGGCAGAATCAAAAACTCCCCCATCCTTTGGGCAAGTGGGGACAGGTTGAAGATGCTAAACCCAAAACCGAAAGTGATGCTCTTAAACTGTTTATCATTCTTGGGATAGTGAGCCAAGCTTTTTCCCTCGTTGATTTCCTGCTTGCCTTTTCCTGAGTTGCTCTGTGATATTGCTGGTGATTGTTGCCATTGCTTGTGGAGCTGTGGATGTGTCTTTTTGACAGCCCTAATTCTGATCAATTGCTGTGGTTAACTCTGAACCATTCCCTGATTTATTTATCCCAAACACTTACATTTCTTTCGCTTTTCTTGCAACCTTCTAAAACAAATTCTAGCTTTATGCAGGGAATTCAGTTCTCTAACCTTGTTATGCTGTCACTAGTGTTTGCGTTTGCCCTAGATATCAGCTTTCTTGGAACATTCTTTGGATTCATAAAGCTAAAACAGAGTAAGATTAATGGACATTTTCCCTGTATTTTTTCATTATAGATTGATAGCCAGATGGAAACTTCCTGCCTGCGATCTTTTGAATATGTGGATGAAAGGAAACTGGTAAGTTGCAAGAGAGTATCCTGTATTCAATTTGTTACATTGCCAATTAGAGTTTATATAAGAGCTTCTAGTGTTCAGAGTTTGAAGCAGTGGCTTTCATTGTATTTTTCAAGATTTTTTTTTTCACTACAAGGAATTGTGAGTGTAGTGCTGACCTTTGGTTTAGCTTTGGGCTTCTGCATATCTTTTCCTCTAGCTACTAGGAGATTCCAAACCAGAATTTTCTATCGTGTTCAATCTTGAGTATTCCAGTTGGTTTTGAGTCGTGATTATTTCCTCCCCACAGTTACTAAGGAAAGGTTATCATTCTACTTAGTTAGCTTTCAAAAATATTATGAGAGGTCATTAGCATTAGCCGAGGTGGCGCAGTGGTTAGAGTGCAGTACTGCAAACACTTCAGCTGACTGCTATCTGCAGTTTGGCGGTTCAAATCTCACCGGCTCAAGGCTGACTCAGCCTTCCATCCTTCCGAGGTGGGTAAAATGAGGACTCAGACTGTGGGGGCAATATATGCTGACTCTGTAAACTGCTTAGAGAGAGCTGAAAGCCCTATGAAGCGGTATATAAGTCTAACTGCTATTGCTATTGCTATTGCTATTTAGTTTTTCATCTCCATAGTGAGCTCGTAGACAAAATACCCCAAGAGGAATTTATGAGCCTTTGATGCTGCTGTTATTCATTTGATTGACATACCTCTTTAGATCCTTTATAATTGGAGAAGAGCAATTATATTGATCATCTTCAAGTCTATTTTTACCCTTGTCCCTTTTTGGAAAGGACAGGTGGTAGCAAGAAAGAATAGTACTTGATCTGAACAATGCTAACTTTTTCACATCAAACCTGAATATTTTCATTGCTGACATCTATATTTATTATCTTCTAGGATAATACTGAATGCTTTCTCAAAGCAGCCTACCATCCCCTGAAAGGTATCATTGATAATATTACATTCAAGAGTAATACTCCAAACTACGTGAAACTCAGTCTGATCAAGGGTTTATACGTGAACCTTGCAAGATGCATTAAGCCTCACGATGATAAGAATAAGGTACATTTTATTGATCAGTTATCCAAACCTCAGAAATAATGCTAATACATTTAATGAGAATGAGAAGCTGATTGACAATTGACATCTAAATTTTAAAGCTGAGGATGCTGAGGAGAGAATTGAAAAAAAATGCTTTAGTGTGTCTTTCCTTGAATGTGCCTTCTTTTTAGAGAAGTTGGGATTGCACCAGATATAATCTTAATCACATTTTTAGACTTCACATACAGGCACATAATTTTAAAGTACCTAAAGACAGGGCAGAAAGAGGGTTAGTTTGGGCCCTATGAAGCAATGCATACTTTTTAGCCAGCTGCTGCTTTCTCCAAGTGCTTGCTATCTGTAATGGGGAAGAAATGCTTTTGGTTGGTATTTATCTTATGCTGGCCCATGGACAAAATGTGCAAAATGTATCATCTGGGCAATATCATTTAGGACCAATCAAAATGACTCAAAAAGGCATGCACTCCTCTAAATTCTCCAGAAGTCATCATCAATTAAAATGTCCCCAAATATGAGAAAAAGAAGGTTTAGGAAAATCCCCCAAATGGGTTAGCAGTTTTAACCAATGGGATCTACGGAGTCAATCTGGAAACAGAGTTTGTGGATTGAATGTGTAATATATTGTATTTGGCTACACTTAATCTTTAGGGACTGATAATTCCTAAGGCAGTGGTCTCCAACCTTGGCAACTTTAAGACCTGTGGACTTCAACTCCCAGAGTTCCTCAGCCAGCTTTGCTGAGGAACTCTGGGAGTTGAAGTCCAAAGGGCTTAAAATTGCCAAGGTTTGAGACCACTGTCCTAAGAGACTGAGATGAGGAAGTACTTGCTCTATCTCACTGATCTTTTAAATCCTATTGATATGTTGGATATTCCTTGCAGGATCTTCAGTATAGAGTTGAGAATAGCCCTTGCTTATGGAAGTAGAGAAACTATGTTTGATTGGCTGGTGATATGCTGTGATAGATATAATAGCAGCTAATTTTGTTTATTTCCCCTTCTGAAAGAAGTGCATCAAGACCTTCTCCCGTACTGCAGAGCAGACTTTGCAACTGGTGCACAAATACTTTAGCCAAGCCAAGCAGTTTCTGAGCAAGGCAACATTCACAGATGATTGCAGTGGAGTCTTCCAGAAGTGTTCAGAATCCCAGGAAAAGGATGCTGTTTCTCCAGGTAAACAGTTCAAGACTTTCAGAGGTGCATTTCCTGCCAATTGTTCGGCATAGAATTGGGGAGCGAGGGTTTTAAACTGGGTAAAGCATTTTGTGGCTTTTATATATGTGCATTTATGTTTGTGGAGCAGGCTTCTCTGTGCATTTATATGTGCAAGTGTTGTCTATTGTCTGCTGGAATGCAAGCCTTAGAAGTCAACAGACATCTCATTTGAATGGAAATCTAGTGGGCCTCTTTAGTTTGAAGTGAGGGCAACACTGAATCTGTTTAAATCTGATGTAGCTGCAGATTCCTGACTCTTGTGTGCCTAAATAAGAGTTGTGGTGGCACAGTGATTAGAGTGCAGCATTGCAGTCTGACTCTGCCCACTGCTAGGAATTCAGTCCTCACTGGCTTAAGGTTGGCTTAGCCTTCCATCCTTCTGAGATCAGTAAAATGAGGACCCAGATTATTGGGGGCAATATGCTGACTCTATAAACTGTTTAGAGAGGACTGTAAAACATGTGTATAAGTATAAGTGGTATTGCTAGGATGGTGTAGATTTTAACACAATGTCAGATGAAGTTCTTCCCTTCCCCATTATCCATTGTTCTGTGTTAAGCAACTTTAATATTTCTGTATTTTCTTTGCCCTCTGACACATATTTGGCGTACGTTAGTGTTGAGAGACACTTCAAGCAGTATGTATAAAGACTGCCTAAAAGCCTACCATAGAACCATTTGTAATAGATATTACATTTGTTCTAAGTATCTTCACAATCAACTTCAATTTCAAAACTGCAGTATTTCTGCTTAAAGATGCAAGAATCCTAAAATGACCACCAGAAATGGGATCTTTTAATATCATGGCAGAGAATTTCAGATATATTCCTGAGATGGACCTCAAATAGATGGAAAGGCTAAGCTGCAAAGATGGGAATAAGTTGAGAAGACATTGCATTCTTATCTAACTGGTGTTTCTCTACGTCTGTTTGTACATACCCATCCTTCTGGTTTTTTTTTTAAATTCAGCTTGGAAGGTCCATATATAATGCTTCAATTCCTAATGGTCCTAGCATTGTTCAGGCATAATTGAATGGAATCTTTATAGCTGGGCTTTTCTCCACTTTTTAAATCTACTTCCAAATAAACCTCATTTTTAGTTTTATTACTCTGCGATCCAATGAGATAATGAAGCCCTCAGTCCTTCTGGATGGTTGCCAAGGAGAATGCAGTAACTGTCTGACCTGAAAATCTGTCTTGAGTTCATCTGTGTTCTTGTGGCAGTTTCTGTTTTATGTCTGTGCATGCAGCATCTATAGTGACGTAGACTATAGATTCACTTCTTATGGCCATGAATATCCCCATTGCCATTCCTATGGAAAAAATATTATTCTCTTTGCTTTGATTTTCTGGACAATTGAATCCTGCTCCAGTGCTTGGTCTCAATGGTATATGATTTCTCCATAAATTTTAGTTGCATGAGCTCTTTCTTGGTGTTGCTACCCCAATCTAATCTTACACTCTCCATCCATCAATTCATTCATTAATCTTTCATCCTCAAAGTTCTTTCTGAATTCTGCTGCTGGTCGCCTTGCTTTATTTCAGTTTTAACCTGCGGTTTCTTCCGTTGTTTATCACCATGATTTGAAAAAAGGCTGAAATCGGGTGTTGGCATGGTGGCTTAAAGGTCGTGTCTAATCTGAGCCTAATGCAACCCTTTGGTTCTTCTTGCATCTTACACTGATTACTCTAAGGCCATTCTCTCTATCTGGATCTTTTCAGGTGTTGTTAGTGCCCTGGATTGCAACTGTTCATCTACAGACCCAATCAATGTAGAAGGCTCCACGTATCTCGTTCCAACCTCTGAGTCTTTCTCTTCCATTGCAGAGCAGCTGGACAGCAGGAAGACAGCTGTCAGCATTCGCCAACTACTAAGGCTTCCTGATACTACTCAAATTCATAGTGGGTTAGAGAGCAATACCAGGTCTAGGGTGACTAGAAGCACTGATAAAAGCCAAGAAATCACTGAAAGCATGGATTTTGAGGTTGGCATTGATGTCCTATTACCATCACCATCATCACCTTCTCTTTCTATCCAGAAACAGTTGGAATCCATGGAGACCAGATCTCCCTCCCTGGATTCCAGAACTGGTGAAAGCCAGAAAAGATCTGATGAGTTAGCTTCTCAGCATCTCCCTCTCTCTGACTTAGCCAAATCCTTTCTCAATCAGCAATGGTTTGAGATAAAAGACAAAACTGAGGCCATTTCAGGACTCACATCTGATCAGAATATCACTGTTGCCAGCAGTGGTTTCCGCTTAACTCTGACATCACCTTCCAATTTGGAGGAAATAGACAGCTCTAGTGCGCCCTCCAGTGGCAGTCCCCAAGTCCTGGGCCACAAAGAGCTTGTCTCTGCAACACAAGATCCTTCTAGATTCGTGGCCACCACAGAGAATTCCTCACCCCCCAAACAAACATCCCTTGAAAGCAACTCTTGGGGAAAACAAAGTAGCAGAGATAAAAACTCCAAAGGACTGCAAAACACCCAGCTGCGGGAGAGACGAGAAGAGGGTCTGGCCAAGAAGGACAGGGAATTGGAGGATAGCCTGCTGGGACCCAGCTTTGATCTCAACTTCATTCCTCCGAACGCAGAGAAGCGCTTCAAGAAGTCAGAGCCCAGAAATGTCCAAGGGACGTCTGTGACATATGTGGTGATACCCAGTGTCCTGGGAATCCTGCTAGCCTTGGGAGGTCTGCTGTTCTACTTGCATAAATCCAGGGTAAGGTTGAGTCCTGCCTTAACAGACCTACATCTTTACATTCCTTTCCTCTTTCTCTCGGTGGCAAATTTGAGACATAGAGTTTCCTGCAGATGGGAACATAGAACTGTCATTTAGACAGAAGGATAGCTTCTTGGCAAAATGCAAACATTGCAGGTTCAATACCTGCCATCCTCAAGATAGGTCTGGAAGACCAATAGTTCTAGGAATGCGCAAACAATGCTAGATGCAAAATAGTTTCTTGTGTCCCTGAGCAAAAACACTTTCCTTGCATTTCCATTAAGTATTTCCCGCAGCTCACCTTATGTTTTGTTTGCTGTTGTAAAATATCTTCCTTCTCCTTTTTGTTTTCATTGAGATGCCCCCCACACACACACACACACCAAAAAAAGCAAGCTATCTCATCTCATCTCATGCATGCCTTGCAGTGGGTAACTCTGCCTTGGATTGCCTGGGCCACCTTAAATCCTTGAGCTTCCTAAACCACAAGATGCAAGCATTGCTTAAGACGGACTACTTCCCATGCTGCCCAGCCACACAACTCAACTTCTTAAAAGTACTTGGCTGTAAAAGTATAGTGCTTAGAACTGATGTCACTGATGCATGTAATTCCTCTTTTGATTCTTAGAATCAGGATAGGGTTGGAAAATGTTCCGAAGTAACTTGAAAGTCTTAAGGAGTTGAAGAAAAATTATAAATACAATAAATATCTTTCCATGTTGAACAGGACAAGATGTAGTTGCATGCTAGAGACAATGTCGACTTGCACTGGGATTAAATATGTTGCATGTATCATTACTTAATAAATTATTTAGAAGAACTGTTTCATATGAAGGAAGAGGAAACAAGCTATCTCTTGATTTATGGGGCTGGCACAGTGTCTTCCAAGGCTGAAATCTGTTCCTGCTTGTTTCACAAACAGTTTACATAATTAAAGGGGTGGTGGTGAGGAAAACATTCAAGGAATGGCTTTGACTATACAGGAGCAGGCATAGTTATCTTTTTGTTAATGCTATCATTTATCACTGTGCAATAAGAAATGGAGTAATCTTGAAAAACCTGGAGGTGGTGAGGATAGAATCTAATGTTGGGCTTGGCATGTGGCCTGAAAGGCATTCTTTACTTTTAAATAGCATGCCAAGAAACCACACCGTGAAAGTGTGCTGAACAAAATTAAACTTGATTTAAAAGTTGGCTTGTGATAATAGTATGGAGGCTGTCCATATTGAAAGACAGCTGTTATGTTTGTTGATAGAAGCGTTTTCTTGGAATAGTTTTCAGTTTATTTCTCCATTTCCTCTTGGGATAACCACAGCTTTTAGTTGGAAATCCAGTACTAATTATACTAGCAATTCAGTCCACTCGTGGTTGTTTCAAATCAAGGTTCTCTGTTCCACTACCCAATTATTATTTTATTTCATACAGATCCTAAGAAAGAGGCAGACCCAGCAGATAGGGAATAATATAGAAAGAACAGAAGAACAAAGGTAAGAAACTAGAAGATCATGAAGCCTGCCTGTATAACTAGATTTTCATCTGTTAGCCTCTTTCTATTTTAGATCAGTTGTTCTTGATTTAGAGGTCCTCTTTTTCTCACTACATATTTCAGATTCTTATGTTTAAACTCACTGTTAAAATTGTCCCTCGGGGTCTAGAATGTCTCCCTGTGGGATAGAATCTGTTGAGCTGCTGTGTGAATGTGTCTGTGTGATGATTTCTAACTATGTTGTGCTACAAACTTGAGGGCACCAGATCATCAAAAGTCATACAAAATGTTGACTAATGAATCAACAGTTCTTCCTCTTTGTCTTTTAATATTCCTGTTCCTTTTTTGTAGGTCATTAAGTGGAGGGGAGGGACACTTGGAGTTGCAGATTCAAAGGGAAGTATGAGGTAGGTTATCTTTTTAATTTTTTCAGAGGGAAATAGGGTATTTGGAGGAGCTTATGTTGTCTGCCTTACAACAGTTACACCATACTTGTGCATAAACTTTGTGGGCAGTTTTGAATATAGTTTACTATGAATACTAAATGCTAGAGCCAGAAAGGTGAATACTACTGTCTTGTCCAGAATTTATATATACATACATACATACATACATACATACATACATACATACATACACCTACACACACACACACACACACACACACACACACACACACATATATATATTTGTGTT